TATTATTATTATTATTATCATCATCATCATGCTTATTCTTATTACCGTATTAATATTATTATTATTTCCATATTATGTTAATATCGATTCGATGGAATGTACCTATAAAAATATTTTCAAAATCAATAAATTAAGGAACCGAAACAACTTAGTGTACATAGTAGATATATAAGTGTACAGTTACATTATATTATACAAAACAAAATATTGGTATGTATGTATGAAGAAAGTATGATTATTGATGTATGACAGAAAGGGAAGGCCAGCTTCTATTACTTTTTTTATCATCATATTAAAAGAAGAAACTGGTAATCACTTCTATTTTCCAACAAAGCTGTACAATAGTATATATCAAGGAGAGACAACTATCAATTTGATAATAATCGAGTAAGCTCTTTTCCAAATGTATTAAACATCTTATCGCACTTATTCGAATCATATTTGTTGAGTTTCTCTAGGAAGGTATTTCGTTACACTTAGTCTTAGATTTCGTTTGTAGTTTAATGTAGTAAATGTCACTTCCTTCTTTTTAATCATACTAATTCCGTTTGAATTATTCATTACTTCAGTATCACCGATAACATCCATTAGAATGGTAACAAAATAAAAATACTATTTTCCATTTTTTTATCGGATAGTTATCGGCGATATATCCCATAATTCACGTTGAATATTTTTTTCTTTTTTCTTTTTTATTTCTCCGTTTTGTTTATTATTTATTGGGGCATTCGCTTCCTTTCCAGCGTGTTAGTGCATAAGAAATTAAAATGGCAATTCGCATTTAACGTTTGTAATGATTATAATAAAAATAACTAAGTTGATTAATTTCTTATGTTTATTTCAATCCTAAAAAAGATAAAAAATAGTTTGGATTATTGATTTAATAGTGGGTATTTTTTCAAATTTTACTTAAAACTTTATCTTTTTTTAAAATTATAATGTATCAAATATTACATGTCATAATTGACATAATTGTATGATATTGATAAAAATATTTGGAGATATTGGAAAGAATTTGAAGACCCATATTAAAAATAGATATCAATGTTAATTAACACATTTTTTTCTATCATTTATTTTGCATTAATGTAACTATAATTCAACATAAAGTAATTAATAGATAAAAAAGGTATTAAATAAAATATTCTTTTACAAAGAAAAATATTGTAAATTATGTATAGAATAAAGATATACAGTCGTTTTATTTGCATTAAAAAAATCTTTTATACGATAAAACTGTGTTTGGAAAATATATAAACAAAGGAAAGAAAAATAAAATTGATCGATGTAATTTAATTATTATTTTTATACATTTTTACTTTGGCAATTTAGTTCAATCTAGTTCACAATAATCCAATTTTATTTAAAACATATATATTTTATTTATATATATGTAATATATATTACAAAGTAAAATGAAAAGTAATAACAAAAATTTATTTGTACATTTTCAACTTACTTTCATATATATAGTTCACCTTTTCTTCTAAATATACTTGCTCTTTTCTCTTTCTCTCTCTCTCTTAATGGCAAGTTAAAATGAGAGGTCTGAGAAGTAGGTATTAAATCGATACGAAATTGAAATTAAAAATTCCTTAAGATTTAAAGCTTATGTTTGCTTCAGCTGAAGAAACAAATAATTGAAAGAAATAAATATTAAAAGAAATTTTAATTTGTAGAAAAAAAGAAGTTTACTATAATATTTATGAATATTTTAATAAAAAGATAGATTTTCGATTATGAATTGTATTAATAATTTAATTATTTTATAATTTGTTGGAACTAAAAAAAAAAAGAAAAATTGAATTGGAAATGCATACTATTTATTACTTCATAAAAGTATAAATATTAATTTTAGTGTTTTTAGTGTTTCTCTTTAAAAAACTCGTTAAATAAAATACATTTTTCATCGGTTTTCAATCGAATATGCATTAATTAATATTTCATTTTATAATTTGAAATCAAATAAATCAATGTATTAAAATTATATTTACGTTTGTGATTAACTGTATATATTTCTCCAGTATGTGATTTTTTTTAAAAATAACAGATTTTCTAATTTTAGCTTCATTTACTAATAATCAAGTAATAATACCATAATGTAAACTTTGAGCGTAAGTATAATAAAGACCGGTATCAGCTGTACTTGCGTCAAAAAAATATAATTAATTTGTTAAATCAGAAATTGTATTATTTTCGATATATTCGAAATGTAACAGAAATACTTCGTAAAACGTGATGTTGAACGTAGCAGAGAGTGTTCTTTCGAAAGTCTTTGAAGCGTGGCTCGGAGCAAAAGAAGAAGGAGGGTTTCAAGAAATCGGACGATTGCTTTATTAAGACGTCAGAAGGTACAGGATAGGCCGGGCCTGCGGTCGTTATTGCCTCAACCGGGTTCTCGCTTGGGACAATTGCTTCGAGAAGATCAAAAAAACCACCGAGAGAAACTGACAGCAAAGGAAGAAGGGAGAAAAGGGAGAAAGAGAGAAAGAGAGAAAGAGAAGCAAATAGAGACAGAAAACAAGAAAGACAGACAGAGAACAAAAAACCGTCATGCTAACTCTTCGTATGTTGCTCTCAAAGTTAAAATACTGTTTCAAATTTGCTCTTTGTAAAGATTTTAATATATTCTACTAGATTTCAGATTAGATTTTTCATATCAATCATGAATTTTGCGTGTGTTCAGTAGATCTTGATTTGATGTACTTATTTCTATCAACGGGTTGTTCCTGTATATAATTATTCTATTATAAGTAGACTTTTATGCAAATCTACATTTTTATTAACATATTAACGGAATTTACATAAAGATCTGCTTTATTTATAAAATATTATAACTTCGTGTATAACTTTTACTTTGAATATATTTTATTTTTTTTTTTTTTATATTGTGCGTTTATATCTATTGCTATACTTATTATATAAATGTTTTCTTGTAGATACATAAATGTTCGCAGTTTAATTATAGGATTACTTTTTAGGAATTTCAAGAAATGAGTTTAAGATAAAAATCTAAAGTGAATTGTGATAGTTGTGATAGATAGATAAAAGTTGTAAGAAAAAAGATTGAATAGAATATTTTATTTTTCTTTTAATGAACATGTTTATCCTTACATTAATAAGATTGCCAAATTATAATTGCTTGTATCGAATTAAATACATAAACATTATTTTATTTATACCATTATTTGCATCGCTTTTAGTGTAATTACATATAATACAATTTTTTAATTTTACGCCATGAAATAAATTTTGTATTTTGAATGACTTTTGTCTATTACGAATTAAAATGCCTAGATTATTAATTAATTAGATTTCCGTAGTACCCATTTAATTCTATTATGGATCATATATAATGAATTAATATTTGTTCAATAGATTTGTATCTCTGTGCTATGTGAGTTATCATTTTCGTATCACCGTTTTATATCAGACGATCTATTTTCTTCATTGTATCATAAATTGTTCGTGCCGCATCAGAATTTCTTGATCTACAATCTTCATCGCATTTCCTGAATTACAGGAAGCAAATTTCGATGGCTATCGCAGTTTGATCAGTCTGAAATTTCAATCCTCGTAATTCATATCGGAACGTGTTATGAATTTCTTCTGCCTCACACGTACGTCCATGTAGAGTGTCATAAAAAAGAACGAGCAAACAAATTGTTAAACAGATTGAGAACCGTCAAGAATCTCTAACCTCGTTCAGTAAAACTTACAGGGCCTTCAACAGAAAACATCGATCCCGAGTAAACGAAGACGAAAGCATTTATTTAGGATATCCTAAGTAAACTCAGACACGCGCGCTTGCCAACGCGTTAATCTAGAAACAAATACCTTCTTATCTAATCATTCATTTCATGTATAATTCGGTAATATACAAAATGAAGGAACGATTTTATTTCCTCCGGAGCTTCTTCCTTGCTTGCTTGCTTGAATAGATTAACCGGTTCAATTTGTACTCAAACAACTAATCTCCTCCGCTGTCCACCACTTCTCGTTTAAAGGAGCGGGATTGAGTTGAGAGTCACAGCAACACAGCGAACGCTTGTGGTAGGGAATAGAAGTAGTAAGGGGCCTGAAAGGGAACCCGATGGAAGGTCGGCATTGGAAGAAGAAGAAACGTAAGAAAGAACGGAACGCATCTAAATGCCGGACTGTTCAACGTCGTTCTGCGAAGGGTACGGGCGAGGGCGGGGGTGAAGAGAGTAGTGTTGGAACCAGGCTGGTGTCTCAATCAGCCAAGCAGGTTGGGGCATCTTGGACCCCTGTGGGTGGAGGATAGAGCTAGCAATGGCTACGAAGTACTCTCGAAGTAAAAACAAGTCTTCGAAGTTATATACTTTCAGATAAAATTAAACTTCGTACTTGGTAAATAGCGTAAAGCCATTGTAAAAATATGACAAAGTATTAAAATAACATTCTCTTCTATTCACAAGGAAAACTATAATTTTTCACAATTCCATCGAAAAATTTTCAACTTCTTTTATGTTATTAAACAATTTCAGAAATTTTACTTTTTATTTCAATATAAATTACGTTGATGTATGTAAAACAAACGAAATGTTCTTATGTAATTTTTATAAATTTTTATTCTAAGATAGCCTGCTTGTTCTTTACATGTACAATAAATAATAATGTTTAAAATGAAATTTATAATAATTATATTTGTAAATTTTGATGCATAACGACGTTCAGAATTCTAGTTTTAATCGGAACTTAAGTCCATCAGTAATCTTTTCAGTCCTGGGCCAGTGATCAATGGTGGGGGAGAAAGAGCGGCGCGCGCAGCTTCTCGGCGCAGCGGGGCAAGCCGTCACAGTCACAACTCAATCTAAGTAGTGTCTCGGTGACCGTGCGTTCGTAAGTTTCTCTTTTCCTCTCTTTCCGCATAGTGTGTTATAATTCTTGACACGGAATTGTAGTTTTCGTTGGCGGATTAGATTGTATCTGGGATACGAAATTTCATTTCTCTAGGTTAAAACAATGTGATTGTTCGTAAGGTTCGTACCTTAAAATTTGTTTGTTTTGTTTCAGTAAATATTATTTTCATAAATATTTTTAATTGTTGAGACATAGACACATTAATATTTATTTTTGTTTGTTCAATTCGTAAGAATACACTGTAGATAATTTGCATTATCTATATATAGAACTTCTTAAAGTTTTTAATACAAGCTTCTAACTCAGTTTTTGGTGTAGGCAAACTGAGTTGTATTTGATGGTATAAATTATAAACAAGAGTAAACATATTAAAATTAATTATTATTGAATTAATTGAAATATTATTTATTTATGTTACATTTTATTAAGTGTAGTTAGCAATAGGTGACAATATTTTAAATCTACAAAAGTACAAAAAACAGTCTCGTTAATCAGATAAATTACTGGAATAACTATCATCATGATTTTTATAACATTTTTTATTTTATTATTATATAGCGATATCAAGCAAATGAATTACGCATAATATATAAATTGACGTGCTACATTTACACGATTTACTTTTATAATTGTGAATAACGTACGATATGAATAAATTTAAATGCAAAACAAATGAAAGTATATTTACAAATTAGTAAACGAATATTTTTCAATGAATGACATAATTAAAAGTGCATAACAAATAAAAATTCTGTATTGATATTTTATTGTGTAATATATTAATGATCATCACACGTGCAATGTTATATTCATTAATTAAAACCTAAATTATAATAATCTGTCCTTGATAATAATAGCAATAAATAAGAAAATCTTTATATGTCTTTTTCCGATAACAATCAATTACTATTCATCAGTAGAACTTTCGATGACTGAAATATTTGTATCGAAGAAAGTAAATTGAAGGCGTGTTCATTCGAAAATTTGTATATAATACAAACGAAAGAAATAAATTTCATTTTTTTTTATGAAAAGTCATAGAGATTTCCTTGAACAATCTATAAACGTTCTATAGAAAAAAAAAGAATTAATCGTTTTAATCATTTAAATGATTCAGTATCAACAGAGATGAGGCGCATTCCCACAATTAAACGGCACTCTTATCTCTGTGTGAATATTTGCATTTCGTAATCAATGTGTTTGTTTAAGTATTATTTCCTTGCGCGCAAACAAATTTCTTTTCAGCGCTCATCAACTTAAGCCCTTTTAATTGAATGAGATCACAGGATCATAAGCATTGATTGAATTCTCGAGAGTAACGATTAAATTAGCATGCATTCTCATATAATTGTTTCAACATCTCCTTCTCTCGCTGCGTGTTCATTTGAAACGAGATTTAGTGAAGCTTGAGTGTAAAGTAAAGTTGATGATCACTGAAGGTCTATAGGGCTGGCCATCTGTCCCTCGTTGCCACGTCTGCGACGTCTTGGTGGTCCATTTTGGGGCTGGTGCGCAACAGCATCGGCACTAGCGCTGGCAATGAAGCGCTTACAGGTAGAATCTACCCCCTCTCTTTCTCTCACTATGTGTGCGCGCTCGCGCACGTGCTCTCTTTCACCCCTTCCCTTTACTGTATCTTGCTTTTTTACTGATATCAGTGAAGAAAGAGAGAGCGAGAGAGTAGTAGTAGTAGTAGTAGTAAAGTGAGAGAACATTCAATCACGTTGTCCGGTAGAAGTTGTAACAACGATGCTCTATGCTTTTTCCACTGATTTATCCGAATCGTTTGATACATTAAAATACGATAGATCTCTATATAAGAGTATTCAATATAGATCTCTATATAAAAGTATTTCAACGTGCAATCAAATTTGTCCACTTGAAAACAAGAATCTAGACCGTTCCAAAAGTTACTTTGTATTATTTATTGTTAACAATTCAAATAAATAGATAAATATTTCTTAGTCATTGATTTATTTGACTATGTAGTAGTAGTCTGTTGTAAGTAACTAATGCGTTAATACGGCTAAGAATTTTAAGAAATAGAAGTATAATAAAAATGGCGTAATTTTTAAGTATTAAATTAAAAAGTTTAATATTTCGATATTTTTTCATTAGAAGTATAAGAAAACATAAAATAAATAAAATAAATTTCGGATATCAATTCTTAGTGACATCTGTGGCTTCTTAAATTAAGCAGCAAAAGGTTGCTATTAACTCAAATGACAGAGATTCAATTTATTTTAAGAACACCATAGAGTATCTCTTCATGTTCTACACAAGAATCCACAAATATATACTTCGTAACTGAATATAAAGCCAAGATTGTAAGTTATATCCAGTAGTATACATTGTTGTAAATAATATAAGATAAAATTATTCATTTCTTTTATACAGATAATCAGTATACAGTGTGTACACTAATACAGTAATAGTATATAGTATATTATTATATTATTATATTAGTGTTACAAAATATTATTGACAGATTATTATACTTATTCTATAATGATAATACTGATTGATAACAAATAGTAAACAATAAGCAATTTCATTTGAACTTACATAACATACACAAGATTTAAAAATCATACAGAGAGCTATTTGTGTTTTTTTCTTTGTTTTCTTTCATCGCTATATTTCATCGTTATATTTTTCGCTATCAAATGACAAATAAAAGCGAGTAAAACTAAGGCAGTATGTGAAACATTCATTTGAAACGTCCGATAAACATACGCTATCAAATTACTTAGTAAGCAGAATTGTACATAGTTCCGTGAAAATAAAGAGGCTGCGTTAATATATCTTCAGATATCACAAAATGGAACTAGACTGTATTATTTATTAATTTTTTATAATTTTTTAAATTTATTAATTTAGATAAATTTATATAAAAGTGAAACGTAATTTTTTAGATTCTTGAGATTAAATTTTCATTATTTTACAACTGTTTTAGAAAGATGTCACGTTGGTTCGATCAATCGAACATACTCTTGATGAGTATGATATTGTTCAGTACAGTAATGTGGAATACAGCGAAAAGTTCGATAATGAAGTGTGAGGAGGCAAAACTAAAATGCGCCTTTAGAACAGGTTGCGGCGCTGCTCTGCAACACTATCTTACGGGTTGTGCACCCGTTCTCGAAGGCAATGATTGTTCTGAAACCTGCCAACATGCCCTTATTGCTCTTACAAGCACCGATGAGGGCAAAGAGCTTATGACAGTACATATCATATTACTTTTGCTTTTAATCGAAAAAAATATTTATTCTGTTCCATGTCAATATAAATATTCGAAGATGCGACATTAAAAATGGATATTTTAAATTAATATTTCAGATTTGTTATAAAAATAACATGTTGATGATAAAATTTGGAAGCGTATACAAATATTTATAAATAATATTGTAAATATTGTAAATATTATTTATAAATGATATATTTTATAATTTATAAATATTGTAATAATATTTATAAATTGTAAAATAATATTATAATGTTTATAAAATAATTTTTTTATTGAGATATTTATGACACAATCTATTTCTTTCTTAATGCAAGTAAAATCATCAAAATAGCAAATTTAATTTAGATTAATAAATTTATTTCTTCCACTATCTTATTTTCTAGATCTTCTTCAACTATTATTATATCTATTTATATATTTATATTTTTTATACGTACAAATTTTTAATGAATAATATTTTTATTTGTTATTTAGTGTGAATGCGAGAATGAATTATGTTTACAATCAAAACAAAGAGTAGAGATATGCAGATCATCTGTAACAATGGCAATGAATAGGACAAGGGTATCCTGCAGGATAGCAACCTGGATTTGTAATGCAGACGCCCTTTGCCAAACTGCACTTACATATTATAATAAATATTGTAAGAGTATGTTTCAAGGACGAAAGTGTACTAGACGGTAAAATATTTTTTTTTAATATTAAAATAAAATAAAACAATGCGAAGAAGTAATTCAGTTACAAAATAATTTCTATACAAATAACTTCTTAAGGCAAATATTTTAGATGTAGGAACTCGATAAATATTTTAACAAGACAAGAAAAGGCTGCAAAATTGAATACATGCCAATGCGATGGTTTTGAAGAATATGATTGTAAAGGAATTCATAGGAATATGAATGTTTTGTGTTTTGGAAAAGTACATCATAGTTACCGTGACATTAATATTGAAGAGGATAGAAAAAGTGAATTTCTAACACCAAACATGAGTCTTAGAGGAGATGGTGTTCAAATATTAGTGGACAGAAAATTGTTTTTACTTTCTTTATTGATTTATCACATACTTAAAGTGAGACAAGGCAAGATTATATGTTACATTATATTTTTTCATTCTTTAATCATGTACTACCAGAATAAAACTGAATTGTGTTTATTTTATAGATAACATAGTATTTGGATTTATAATTTGTAATATTTTTAAACATAGAAGATTGGTATTTCTTTTTTATTTTTAAAAATTTTATTGTTTCAGACTGATGATTAAAACAAATTCAGAAAAAATCTCCAAAAAATAACAGTATTCCATGAAACCAATGACCAAAGATCTTTATCAATTTTTTAAATCATCAATATTTGAAAAATTTAATGCTGGTATTAATGGATTACTTTCTTATAACAGCATAATGAACATGTATAAATTACAAAATATTTCCACGAGTTGATTGTTAGATTTGTACAAATGGAAAGAATAGAAAAGAGAAGAGTCTTGTACAGTAAAAATATTGTAAAGTGATTGTATGTATCATAAAATATGTAATTGAATAATTTGTTGTAAGTATTTAGTTATAAATCAGTTTTATTTATGAAGATACAACTATGTAAATATTTACATTCAGATATGATTATTGTTTTTTTCTTTTTTCTCTTTTTTTTTTATCAGATTCATATTCTCAGAAAATTCTTTTCTTGTAGAAAAATATTTTTTAAAATATTTCTTATTTGGGGAAAATTATAATTAACATTTATTTTGCTAAATAATTGCTATAAAAGAATTTAAAAATTAATGAAATAAATCTTTTTTGGTTTGTTTTCTAAAAAAGAATTAAACTAAAACTAATAATTTTCTTCAAGAAAAAGAAATTTCCAGGATTTTTATGGTATATTGTTATATTTATGCGAATTTGAGTGTGACTGAGTGTTCTTATAGTATTTTTGAATATTTGTTTTTATATCTAATAATTTGATAAACTCAAATTTTTATTAATAACAAATTGTTAATACATCGTTAATAAAAACACAATTGAAGTTCAAAGTTTCTACAATTTGTATTCTAATTACATGAAAAAGTTACCGAATAAATAGATAAAAAAAGATTATATAAAATGATGTACTACAAAAAGTTTATTAAATATAAATTATTTGCAGTTTTATTATAATCTATGGAACTCACATATTTTAAAGACTGTGTTAAAATATTATATAATATTTAATATTACTTAGTATTTATTTTAGTATATAATATTTAACTGATATTACGATAGGAATAAATTTATATTTTACTAAATTTGAGATATTTAATAAATGTATTTACAATCTTATATTCTTGAAATTTACTTTCATTGCTTATTTGTCCTTAGAAAAAGTACAACGATTTTATAAAATTTCCGTAAATTGAAAATTTTAAATTTTGCAATATGAAAAGAAAATTTTTATTGTATACATGATTTTAAATGTAAGAAAGCGATACATGAAAAGTTTTTCATGATAAATCTTTTATTACTTAAATATATTAAAAAACTGAATAATTTAAGGAAATCCATCGTCATCTTCTTCTGCCATTTCCTTTGCAAGCTCTAAATCTTGCTGTTCTCTTTCTCTACGTTCTTCAGCCGATTCAAGATCTTTACCGTATGATTTTGGAGGATATCTCATAGCTTTAACACTTTGATTGTGTAAGTCTAAACAGAAAGTAATTCTTTGATGAAACGCGAGTAACGGTTCTTTAGTGCAATAAATATCTGTTGTTTCTTTGCTTCGCATGTATCCGTTTTCTGGTTCTAAGGTAGCTTCAATTACACCATCTCTAATAGCTTTAGCAACAATAAATTCTGCATCAACACTAGAATCCAAGCCAAGTTTCTTTGCAATGTCTGCAGGAGAAATTCTGGAGTAGGATAGTCCAATTGATCTAATTGCCGTTTTAATAACATTGTGCCTCAATCTGAGAATTAAAGTAAATGTATGATCCGCTCTAAATTGTGGGCCAAAGTTTTCTAAAACTTCTCCAAAACGTTGAAGATTTCCTAAACGCACAGCTTGAGTCAACTGAAAATATGGAGCTAATGCGCGACGCATAGCAGCTTGTCTGAAAGTCTGACGTTCTGGAATATCTCCAAGTAAAAGCTCAACAGTTACAGCTAGCTTCTGAACTGTTTGACGAAAACCTACCGCGGTACTTTGTGGTGCTTTTCTAAGAGCCTGTAAAAAAAAAACATGAGTTTTATTATTTCTTTCGATATTTTGATTAAAAATTTACACATTAAAAAAAATATTGATTTACCTGTACTAGATACTTATGCGCAGCAGAATATTCTAATCTAGCAGCTTTAATTCGTCCCAAATAATATAAAAATCTAGCCCATTCGTTATTGCTGGCAGATTCTGGGAAAGTTGACTTCAATACAAGTTTATCTGCTTGATCATATAAATTGTAATGTAAATAATTTCGCAGCAAACAATTAATTAATACAGCTTGGCCTTCAAAATCATTTCTAAGCGTTGCTGTTCTTAATCTCAAATGCAGTAATCCTCGAATTTTATCTAATCTGCCAATTAGTTCATATGCTCTTGAATAATAGAAATAACATTTAGCAGCAATCAAATCAATTGTACGTCTGTTCTGTGCAATTATTTTTTGTAATAATGCTTCCGAGCATTGAACAGCTTCTTCATGTTTTCCGGCATCAATTAAACGTACAAGCACCAGTAAATGAATATAAGCATCAATTTCAGGCAATGGAGTCATAGTAGAAGTACGAAGTTTCTGTGTTTCTTCAAATTCAGCAGATTCTTCTAACCATGATAATAGTGCGTCACGTTCAGTACATGGTTTAGGATAAAAACTTAGAATTACTCCACGCAGAACATTTGAGTTTAATCTACGACGTGTGTTAGGCAATGTGCGTAGAGCTCTCAAAATAAAACGAGGCTCTTTGCTCTGTACGGCTTTCTCTATTTGACGAGCATGCTCGCGTATATCACATATTGTTTGAAGATCAGTATCTTTTTTGTCGCAAACATCTCCATCACCATTCTGGCCCTCGAAGATTATTTCAACATCCATAGCTTCAGGATTTTTGGCTGTAGGGACACCCATTTTAGCTCTTCTATAAGAAATTAGATTTCTACAAAAAGAATATTCTAATTTTATTATTATGTTATTGTTATGTACAATATTATACAATAAAAATATTAAAAAGTTCTTAATATTTAATATATTTTTTAATATAGCGATATTTGTATTCATAATATTCAAATCACTCATTCTTTGTAAGTTGTTCAATGTTAATAAAAACTGTAAAAACAAAAATATAAGTCCATCGATAATTTAGGATTTAAACTTTGTAACAAAGAATTTAATAACCAAACTTAAATTTCTTTATCATCAGGCTTCTTACGTTCTTTTAAATATAATTTATATTATTACATTGAGATATTCTTACATAAGATATTTTTAAATAAACCTTTCATACAAAATTTGCAACATATGAAAGTCGAATAATTAGTGAAGTAGTATTTCACATTTACCTTCGTTTTATATTTTTATACAAAACTGAAAATTCCTCAAGTACAATTTTACATTTTCATCGCACCAATTCACAGTTGTACACAAGTACAGTCATAAGCGAAGAACTCGACAAATTTTCTAACTAAGATTTTCCGTTCTAAATCTCGTACATGAATTATGTTAAACTTAATCAAAATAAAATTTTATTAAAATTATTATTAATACTTAAATATTCTTATATGCAAATATTCTTACTTTAAATTTAACGTAAAAATATGTACAATTTAAAAATATATGACAATATCAAAATGTTATTTACATGTATATATTTATAAGTTATAAATATGTAACGTAAATTTTCATTATTAAATCTTATGCGTACTCTCTAAATTATGATAAATTGTAAATTATATTTTCTAAATTGTACGTTTTTTTATAATAGAAATTGTTAACAGATGGCGGAATTCAGTGACTTCTATAGTTGAACCAGTGTTAGCCATCTTATTGTAATTAAGTCAATGGATGAGAAAGCGATTAGTAGGCATGAGTGTGAGATAACCTCGGTAGCAAATAATACAATATTTTTAATTATGATAATGTAAATACTTGTGCTAGAATAAAAAAAGGATTTCACTTATTAGTATCCATGTCACACGTCAACATGAATTTAAGTAAAAGCGAGAAACTGTTAGCTGCTAAAAAAAAAGTATGATGTTTTAAACTGATAGCTACGCAAATATTTCTAAATACTTGATTTTCGTAGAAAAATTAATACATGATATTGTAAAACTTCGTACGTTTTAGTAATAATTTAATCATCTGTCTCTATATTTTTATCTCTTTAAATACTTAGGTTATGTCGAGTATCAAATGCTGTTGTATTTACGTTTTAATTTAGTCATTATCACTAGTCATGTGTCTGATAAAGCTTTTTTTTTTGTTAGCTCAGGGAATTTCAATTAAGTAAAATGCAAAATAATCAGGATGCTTCTACGAAACAAAAACATCAGTCTGTCAGTTTATTACCTCAACAAGTGAGTCAAATTTATACATTATTTCTTTTGGCATCCTTTTGACAGTCGTATTTCTCATTATAATCTTTTAAATCAATTTCTAAAATTTGCAGTACCAAAATGTAAAAACTGATACATCACATTTAGAAGTTATGACTAATGCATCTGCAGCAGAAATTCCAGAAAATGATACATTTGCAGTTCAAGAATTTGAAAAAAATGAAGTGTCATCCGTTAATTTAGTAACAACTTCAGAAAATGCTATAAATCATGATAAAGTGCATTATTCTGTGGAGGAGATTACTAATACAAAAACTATACAAGAAATGAACATACCAGAAATGGAAAAGAAAATGGATTTAAATGATTTTCCAAAGGTGCAAAAAGAACATCTTTTAAAGATGGCTTCTGCAGTTGCAGATGTTTTAACGAATGAATCAGAATATGCAGAAACATCCCTTGATTCTGACTTAATATGTCAGAATCAATTTTTAAGTTCCTATTTAGAAGAGCAAAAAAAAATTGTTAATGAATTGCACATAGAACTTAGTAATGCTGTAAGTATATATATAAATTTTGTAAAGAATATCGAAGTTTAAGTATTTTGAAAAATTATTTTAAAAATAAACTTGTTTTAATAATTTGATTAGCGTAACAAGATTTCAGAGTTAGAAACCAAATTAGAGGGAAAGGAAACAGAATTTCAGGTACAATTGGCACGAGAAGTAAATCCTTTAAAAGAGCAACTTCAAGTTCACGCCCAGACTACCGGTATTCTAATAGCAGAAAAAGCAGAACTTACTGCTGCTCTTAATCAAGCTCAGCAAAGTGTTAGACAGACTTCAGGTTTGTTACTTCATGGGACTTTTCAAACATATATGCGTATTGTGATTATAAACTCTTAATAAATAGAAAATAAATATTTTTTAGAGGAAACTGAAGAAATGACCAAAAAATTAAAAAATTCACAATTTCGCATAGCTGAATTAGAGAAAGAAATGTCCACAATAAAAAATAATAATGAAGAATTAAGAAAAAACATTCATCAAATACAAAGTGACTATGAATCTGTCAATAATAAAATTTTTGAATTGAGGAAAGAAAAAGAAGATTTGAACTTGGAGGCATCAGAATTAAAGCAAAAACTGAATTTGAAAAAAACAGAATTAATAGCTATGCAACAAGAACTTCAAGAAAAGACAGCATTGCTTTCATTAAGTGAACTTCGAATACAGCAGGTAATGATATATGTATATACATTATCATTAATAAGATTTAGAGAAAATATTTAATTTTCTTGTCTTTGTAGATGAAAGTTGCTACAACAACGGAAGAGGAAAAGCATGCAGTAAATCTTTTAGAGCAAGAATTGGTACAAACTAAAGAATCTCTGAGAATTGTTAGTACTGAAAAGGATGAAGCTAATAAGCAGTACCAGAATTATGTTAAACAATTAGATGCTCAGCAGGCAAAATTATCAGAAGAGGTATTTTTAGATTCTTCATATAAAATTTGAAGGTACAATGAAAAATGATAGTTTTTAAAAATTAAATGTTATTTATAGATAAAAACACAAAAAAAAATTATAGAAGATGCACAACAAAGAGAAGAAAGTTATATGCAAAGAATTTCAGAACTTGAGCGACAGTTACAACAAGAAACAGAAAAAGTAGAGAATCTATCGTCTTTGCAAGATCGTAAAAATAAAATAGATGAAACAGATCAACTGAAAAATATGGAACTTGTAGAACTTACATTAGAACAAGAAAGACTTCATATTGAACTATCTGAAAAAGTATTATTTTTCAATTAATTATTACAATACAGATTTAATTAAAAGTACTTTTAAATTTCATACATTTACTGACTAATTACAAATTGAAATCACATTAAAATTGAGATCATTAAAAAATATATAAAACATATAAAAATTATTAACTATAAAATATTGATTATGATATTAAAAAGTTTTTTTTCATAGGATTCACAAATTGAAATGTTAACAAAAAATTTGAACGATTTACGAGATGCGAATAATCAGCAAGCAGAAGTAACAAAACTAGTCACTGCTCTCGAAAGTGAACAGTTAGGAGCATCTAGAGCAGTTCAGCAAAATAGACAATTAAAGGAACAACTGACAGATATGGAAAATGCTTTTGTTTCTTTGGTAAGAATAATATTAAATATTAATAAAACATGTAATAAAAAAGAATAAATAAATTATTTTAATTTTTAACATAATTTTAAGAGTAATGCTAAATTGGATTTAACTGAACAACTTCAAGCAGAGCGTTCTATAGGAAGAAAATTAAATGCTCAATTAAATAATGTAGAAAATGAGTTGGAACAACTGAAAGAAAAATTAAGAGAAAAAGAATCTATTCTTGAAGAAGTTGAGAGAGAAAGACTTCAGAATGCTCAAATAGTAGATCAAATACAACATTATCAAGTACAGTCACATCACGCAGATACTTTCCAACGAGAACTTCAACATGCTCTAGTAATGATTTAATAAAATTAAAAACATTTCTTTCCTTAATATCAAACAGTTTTCTTATATTATTTATGTCTTAGGCTACTATAGAAAGATTAGAAAAGGAAAAACAAATTCTTACGGAAGAACTGAAAGAAAAAAGTGCAGAAGTTGATCAATATTCTATGAATACTAATAATAATGTATCAAATTTGGAAAGAAATGTACAAATAGAAATGTCAAACGAAAATAATGTTACCATTTCTGAACCTATAAAAAAACTTGAACAAAGATTTAAAGAAACAATGGAACGAGTTGCTGAGCTTACAGAAGAAAAACAGAAACTTGAGCATCTTGTTTTACAGCTTCAAAGTGAGACCGAGACAATAGGTACAAATAGATGGTTTTTAAATAATTATTTACACTCTAACTTTATTTTTATGTTGATAAAATTATCTTTCTTTTTTATTTTTAGGAGAATATATAACATTATATCAAAAGCAAAGAGCAGTTTTGCAAAATAGAGCAATAGAAAGAGAACAAGTATTTCGACAATTACTTGAACAGAGAAATCAGCAACAAGAGCAATTACATAAATTAAAAGTTTTGGTTAGTGACTTTCTTAGTAAGGAATATATACATTCCAATGGGACAGAATGTCGAGTTGAAGCAGGTAAATTATAACATAGAACTTTATTTAAAATTTTATTTGAATTTTAAACTATTTTATTTATTTAACAAAATTTTATCAATTAACGTTGTTAACTAATTGAAATCTAATAAAATGAATTATCTTTCAGAAACAGATTTTAATGATTCTGTAGTTGTGAAAAGAAAAAAGGAAGTTATAAATCCACAAGTAGAAAACAAAAGTGTATCGGAACTTCTAGATGTTTTGACGGAGATAAAAGATTGTAAAGATTCCTGTATGTTTGAACTGAATTTCCATCCATGTCCCTGGTGTTCTGGAAAATTAATCACAGTATAAAGGATACATTATGTACATACCTTATATTTTTAGTATAGAATATTGACATAAAATTTTTAATTAGCAACGATTGTAGTACATAATTGTATATAAGATAAAATCTATAAAAATTGAAATTTGTAAATGATCGATGTGAAAAAAGAAGGTTTTCGTCAAGAACAATTGCACTTTTTTATAATTGTATAAAAAAAAAGGATCATTTAAGCCTAAAATATTATTTAAAAAATGAAGTTATATGAAATATTTTAAAATAACTATTTTTTTCGTACTTGTTTCTTTACTGCTTATCTTAATAGAAAATATATTTCTCTATAAAAAAAAATTACTTCTATTTTAAATATATTAAATAACAAAAGTAGTTAATATTCAAAAATATTTTATTTAACGTGTTTAAAAAATTGATCTTTTGTCATTGTTAATTTTTTATAAAGTATATATTCAGAATTCTATTATCTTAAGATTATACCTGAATAATTTTCAGTGATTATCTTTTTATTTTGTTTTAATATAAAAACATTTATTCAAAATAATAATTATTTTAAAAAATAATATAAAAATGTTCTAAAATTCAGCTTATGCTTTTAATCTTTTTAGACATTGTGAATCTTCTTCAATTACACTTCCTTTTTTTGTGCAATCTTCAATGATAAAAGCAGCTTTTCCTCTATGTCTTCTTTCTGAAAAAAGGATAAATAACTCCATGATTATATTTAATTACTTATATTTTTATAAAAATTTGTACTTTTACATTCAGTTGTATATTACCTGCTCGTAACAAAAGTCTTTTACATTGATGTAATATTGAAGCTTTTGCTTGAACTTCGTTCAAACCCAATAAACATGCCAAATTTATAAGATCATAAGGATTTCGTATTGTTTTAATGTCATTTGAACCACTGGATAATATTACATTCTAAATAAATAAAATATTTAATTAGAAATTCTTTTGTTACTTAGATATGAATTTTAAAGAAAAAATTTTTTAATGTTAATGACATTATTATTTACTAATAAATATTAAATATTAGAAATAATTTATATTTATTGATGCTTTGTAACATATAATTATGAACGAATCTTAAAAGCAATTATTTTTATTTAATGAATAAAATGTATATTATATGAATATTTGAATACCTTACTTTTCCCATATGTATGAAATAGATGAGAATAGTGAATAGTCGTTTTTCTAAATTCGATATTTAATAGATCTATATACTGTATTTCAAAATGAATTCCTCTTTCAATTGCTTGATCGTACAATTTCTTATTAAGTTTAAATGACACTGAATTTGGTCTTAGAGTAATTATATCTGCATTCAATTGAGTACATGCGAATTGTAAAGCATTTTGTGTCTTTGGGACAAAAGCATATAAATCATATTTTTTCAAACTAGAACAATGATTCAGTATATGTGTCTTTGCAAAATCAGCGCAAAAAAAGGTAATTCGATTTAATATTTTCAATTTTCCATCAAATTCTTTTCTTACGTTGTCTATGTCCACTATTTCTGGTAGATCACTATCACCATTTTTCTTTCTTTTTTTTTTACCTGTAGATGAAAATGTTCCAAAAACATTTTCATCCACATTGGTGTTTATGGCTATTGTTTTAAAACCGTATTCGTATAATCTATGTAAAATGGGATATAAATTTTGTACTTCATTTGGAGATACATTGACGCACAAATCATAGAAACCTGAAGTTTTTCTAATATTCATTTTCACAAAATCACAAAATCACCAACTCTCCATGAAAAAAGAACAGATTGAAGATACATGTGATCAAAATGGACTTCTAATCAGAAGAATTGGTTCGGCGCTCGTGCGAATCACTAATTGGCACCAAGGGGCCATTCGAATAGGTCCATCGTTTTCGGCTGGGAGTATTTGTTAGTTAGATAAAACATATTTGTTAGTTAAATATTCACATAATTTAAATAAAACAGGATACAATTTTGTATTTCATTTTGAGATACGTTGACACACAAATCCTGTACTTTTTCCGATATCCATTTTCACAAAATATTAAATTTATATATGTAGGCGATGGATTGGCGACCACGGCCAATCCATCCAGTCTTTCTCCTTAATATACCACCAGTTACGAACACCACCAAGTAGCTGCCGTTGACTTACGAGTCAATATCGATCACGAGGTTGAGCATGCAGGTGCGGAGCATTTCTAGGATAGGTAGGAGGTGACCATTATCCAGTCCTTGTCCAGCCTAGTAAGGTACCTAACTATAAACAAAACAAGCGTCTGAGATAGAAGTCGCCACCATCAGCTTCACTGAGAATGAGTTTAGCTGGTGACTCCGAAACGAAAAACTTCCTTTATTAATCATTATCCTGCCTTATGCGATCCCAAAACCGTTACATTTCCATAGCGCACTAAGTCCTGGCATTTTCATTAAAATAGCCAGAGGTCTCTCTTGGGATGTGAGATATATAAATATTTTCTCTTTCTCAATAATTATGTCTTTATCTATTTATAATACTTAGTTCAAGTTGTGACATAGAAATTAACATGTTCTTCTTTGAACATGCACAGACAGAGAAGTACATGTTTGTTTTGATTAATTTTAACCTATTTTTAGCATAGGCACAAAATATATAATATAAATACTCTATAACATCCGTTTGTCATAAAATCCTACTATAAAAATTTTAATATTTTTATAAAATACTGATTATAAAGGAAAAGGATATTTAAAATTTTTTTGAACAACATTATTTATTAACATCATTTTATTATTACTATTCTTGTATTGAATCACGTAAGGTATATCCAGGTATATTTGTCTCAAATAACCAAATATGTTGTGAAACGTTTCGGTACGACTTGAAATACTGGGTGCTCTAGGGTGTGTTAATGTAGTAGAAGACTGTTGTCAGACTTTTGTCCTACCACAATATAACTATGATTTTAATGAAAACGCTACTCTAGTCGTAAAGTGATACTGATTCGCGAAAATCAATTATGCTTGACTTGAAGATTTATCGTGACTATCGAAAACGATCTTGCTTAATACTGATACTCTGTTATATAATTACTACTTGCTCACTTATTGTTACTAAGTAACTGCCCGCGAATCTCCCTTTATTAGTGAGCGCCGAGTTAGTCTGGCCGATTACATTCATCGTTTCATCACACGTTAGGCATTAATGAAACGATTGTTACTATGATAACAAGTAGACTCCGAGGCTTGAGCTATACTACGCTTCAGAGTTTGTTTCCCTACATATAATGAAATATTGCCGAAGATATTTACGGTGGCCACACAACAGAAAATATAACATCTAATCTTCAGCACGAGACGGTTTTGCGCTAAATTGCTAAATTTATAAGAGAAGTTTTTTCTTTTAAATCATAATTATGAATTGTTGTCAATACTTGAACTATAAATATATAGCAATGTACCAATCGTTATAACTATCTTGAAAACATTAAAAAAAGATTTAAATAAATCAAAATTAGACAAATATAAATATTCAAGTCTATTATAAAAGTAATTTAAAAATGTAAGTTTGGAAAATGTATACATTTGGAAACGTATTTTAATGATTTTAAAACACTCAGTAATACATATATTTATAGATAGATTAAATTAAGTAGTAATTTAAAAAATAATTAAATTATAATTAATCGCTGTCTTTAGATTCAGCTTCACTAGAAGGTGGAGTACTTTCGATAGGTTCTTCGTCACTACCTTCATCAGAATCTTCTTTTTTTCTTTTCTTTACTTTTTTGTCTCCTATATCATCCTCCTATAATAAAATCATATGTACCAGAATATATTTTTAAAAATATTTAATAAATTTAATATAAATGCTATAATGAAATTACCACACTGCGTTTGTCTCCCTTTTTCTTTTCTTTATTTTCGTCACTATCTTCGTCTGAGACCTTTTTTTCCGATTTCTATAGGGATATTTTAAAACAGTAATATAATATTTAAGAAAGATAATATAGCTAATAATAATATAAATATAATTTTTATTATTTATTAATGTACCTTATTATCTTCATCGCTGCTGCTTTCATCATCGCTGATATATTCTTTGCTCTTAAAACTAGTTCCTGACATAAGCTTACTGGGAGATTCTTTTTTACTCTCCTTTTTCTTTTTTTCTCCTTTTTCTTTCTTCTCTTTATCACCTCCTCCTCCTCCACCCCCGCCGTTAGCTTCGTATTCTTTCATTGACGTAATATACTCCTTTTTGGCTTTTGCTGCTTTTTGTTCCCATTCCTATATAATTAGTATATTATTAAATAATTATGAAAACACGTAAAAATTAATTTTTATAAGAAAGAATACACAAGTCTTACAGATTTATCTTTTAATTCTCTCCACATTTCACCTCCTTTTTTTGCAATTTCTGTAACTGCAATACCAACATTTTCTGCTTTAATTTTTTCTCGATTACTGTTTAACCACATCATGAACGCACTTTGTGGTCTTTTAGGTTTATTTGCATCCTTTTCTTTCCTTTGCTTTCTAGGTTTTCTAGGTTTTTCTGACTAAATGAGATAATACAAGTTAATAAACTATAAATATCCTAATAATAAATATCCTAAAATTATCTTACGAGTAAATTCCTTTTCATAAATTATAGAAATATTGTAGATATATATAAAAAAATCCAAGTAAAATACTTACCACCGTTTTAGCGGATTTCGACTTTTTTTCCTTCTTTTCTTTTTTCTCTTTCTTTTGACTTTTTCCTGAAGCATCCGATTCATTTTCACTTTCTGAACTGTTTGGATTACTGTCATATTCTTCTGCCACATCGCTCTCATCCTAAAATAATATGAAAAATATGTAAATTTAAATATGTAAATTCTGTTTTTTCAAAATTCTGATAAAATTATACCTGATTAGGATTAAAATCTTCATCAGTAGATTCTTCTTCAGAATCTTGATTTTCCTCTGCATCTCTTTCCTCTGCTTCTGCTTTAACTCTTGCCAAATAAGCATCTGGCTCATCTTCTTGATCACTGTCTCCAAAGTCATTGTCATAATTCAATTTGTCCTATTATGATAATAAATAATATTTTAATATAATTACTTAGGAAATTATAATTACATTAATGATTTATACTTACACTCTTGCCTCTATTCTTAACCCGTAATTTTTTAGAAGTAATAAAATCGAAAAGTTTTCCATATTCTTCTTTTTCAATACTACTGAACGTATGAACAACGCCACTAGTCAATTCAATTTCAAAATCAAACGATCTGGTAGAGCCGCCACCACGGGCAAAATTTACCGATGCAATTTCTTCAAAACGTATGTGAATTGGTGGTTTATGAACATAAATGAAACCTCTTTCTAAAGGATATAAATAACCTGCAGCTGCTTTAAATGAACAACTAATCGCAAGCGTCCCAGAATGACTGAAAATTAGAAAGTTAGAAATAAGAAATGTACTATATATTAAAATATTTCTATGTAAAGACTTACCTAATGAAATTTCCAGGTCCAGTAAGTTTTCTATTAATAATAACTTTCATTACTTTTCCTAAAACTTCGTAAGTTGGCCCAGATAATTCTTTTGGTAATTTATCTTCATATTTTTCTTTTAGTTCTTTTCTGTAATAATAAACATGTAAATAATATATCTATATTTTACTATAAAATACTAATTTACTATTAAAAATATAATGTTTTGATACATACTCAGAAAAAGGTAATTCAATTGAAGTCTCTTCTTCTTGATTGAACAATAATACTAAATAGTGATAACGAGTTTGACCTTGTTTAATTGGTGGATCTAAACTAACCTAAATAAAAAGCATTAATGATAATGATAAATCAAATAGTGATAAATCAAATAATGTAGAAAATAAAAATAATTTTCAGAATACTTACCACAAAATACATTTGTCTGTTATCTTTATGTGGTAAAAGGAATAGTCTTAAAACAGTTGACATTGGAATTTTATAATCAAAAGTTTTACCATGTAATTGGAAAAATGATTGAAATATCTTTATATCATAACGACCACTGAAAGAGATAGTTATATTAATATATTTTTTCAATATATATTCTTTAAATACAAATACATACCGAGGTGTCAAACATTGAATCTCCCTAAATATTGCAATGGCATCTCCACTAACACTAATGACAGATGCTTTTTCCATAACTTGTTGATGAAACGCTTCTACTGGATCTTGATCTGCACTGTCACTGATAGGAATATGAAATCTCATTTCCATTAAACTTACAGGAGCATCATCGTTCTGAAAAATTTATGAAGATTTTATGTTAGCGAACTTTATTAATGTTAAACACATTATATCTCCAATAATCACCTGATGAAATTCCAATGTGACTTCGTTTTTACCAGTGTTACATTGAGATACATCATACAGTGGAATTTCAAAAGCAGTATGATGACCAACATCAAAACTCAATACAGAACCATTAAATCTAGCTGTACCCCAATTCCAACCTTTTAAACTAAGTTCTTTCTCTAACATATCCTTTTTATAATTTTGTGCAAAGAATTTTGCAATTTTTTCCTGATCCTAAAAATAATATTTTGCTATGAAACTTACAGTTAAAAAAGATGATTTTTAATTGAAAATTATTACTTACACCTTCCTTAAATCCACGGAACCTATGTAAAGTTCCATTTTTGAGAAATATTCGAAGACCCCAGGTACCAATGAATTTCTGATAATTTACCATTTCCATATCTGACGCTGAAATCTGCTCCACTTTGCCTGTTTTTTGATTTTTAAAAATCAAATGTTGATCCGTAAGTTTCAATCGTCCAGGAGTCTGTTCATAAAAATGTCATATGTGCAATTATAAAGAAATTTCTATTTATATGATTCATCATCGCACAAAATACTTAATGAATTGTTACAAACATTTTCATTAATAATTTTAGTATTTACAAAATAAAATGCAATTTGTTTGCAATTATATTGTGAAATACAATAGACTAAATTACCATTTAACTTGAATATTATATAAAATAATATATTCTTACCATAGCTCCTTTAACTTCAGCAATTACATCAGTATATTCTAAGAAATCCATCTTTAAAAATATTTGAAATCAATTTGGTTATTATCTTCGTTTTTCGAATTCACAAACTACATACATAACCATAAAATCAAATGCTTTTTGTTCACACCAGTCTCTACAATTTGAAATAAGAAACTGAAGTAAGGGAGAAAACAAATCTCTCGCGTGTTATAACACGCCACCTTCTCGCTTTCAAAATATTTTCTGCAAACGTAATTGGTCAAGATATAAAGTACAATTTATAATAGAATTTATATACAATAACAATATGCATAAAGAATATATGTTCTTGCTTCTTTTTTTTTTAGCTCTAAATGTATTGTTAAAATTTATACAGTCTTCAATGTTAAATATATAATAACGAAAAATCTTAAAAATTAATTGAAAATTATTAGCCTAAAATTTGCAAAAAGTTGATTGGTTAAATTAACCATAAAATATAATCTTATAGATAAGTTTCATTTCAAATTATTAGTTGAAAATTGGTGTGTGCGTGCGCGCGCGCGCATGATGTGAATAGTATAGTAAAAGTGCAATTCATACCAAAGTATCTTTTTATTATTTATAATATATTTTAATGAAATAGAAGAAATATTTTACGTAAAAATATTTCTTTAAAATTTGAGCTAGGATATATACTATTTGATTATATACTTTATGGATAAAAAATAGTTGACAATAAAAAGTATAAAAAAAAATTGTGTAATTTACATTGTATTAATTTATTATAACATTTTTATACTTTTGAGTTTGTAAGTACATCATGATAAGTAATTTTATAAAAATATTATAAAAAATAACTGTATACATTTGTACAAAATATACTAGTTAAGATTATCATTATTGTATATTTATATGTATAATTTTACTTAACATTTTATTTTACTATAAATTTCAGTTTTCTTGAGACATTAATATTTTTTTTAGATAATAATGAAACAAACGGAATTTCCACCATTAAAAAATGATTTGATCTTAAAAGCTGCAAAAGGAGAATCTATAGAACAAGTCCCAGTGTGGATAATGCGTCAAGCTGGAAGATATCTTCCAGAGTTTCAAGAAATCAGATCAAAACATGATTTCTTTTCTGTTTGTCAAACACCGGCTTTAGCTTGTGAAGTTACTTTACAACCTATAAAACGATTTGATCTGGATGCTAGCATTATCTTTTCTGATATCTTAGTTATTCCACAAGCAATGGGTTTAATTGTTGAAATGGTTCCTGGAGTGGTTTGTTTTCTTCTCTCTATTATTAATTTTTATCTATTTTTATATTAAACAAAATTTTTAATAACGTTTTATGATTAAATATACAGGGACCAACTTTACCCAAACCTTTGAACGATCCAACAGATTTAGTCAGATTAGTTAAGCCAAATGTAGAGAAGGATTTAAAATATGTAGGAGATGCTATAACTTTAACAAGACACAAATTGGAAGGAAAAGTACCAGTAATTGGTTTTACTGGTGCGCCAGTAAGTAAATCAATTTCTTCATATTACAGGATAATTACTTTTAGTATTTATATATATAAATTGATAGTGGACATTAATGAGCTACATGATCCAAGGTGGGGGTAGTTCAACAATGACAAAGGCACGACAATGGTTATATAAATATCCAAAAGATTCTCACAAACTTTTACAATTGATTACAAATGTCATAATAGATTATCTTG